GGTGGTGTTTTGGGGTTTTTTTTTGCCATTCGTGGTGCTGTAATTGCCCTTTTTCCATCCAGTGGACTTTAGTCTGACTTGTATAAAACTTGAAAAATGTATTTCATTCCTTCTGGTTCTCTTTGAAAGTATAATTATATCTCGGGCTATAGTTATGTTTTAGGCTTGTCACTTTATATATATTTATAGTAGGACAGTACTTCCTATCAATAGGATTGTCTGACACTTCCCATTGTAGGAAGCTGTTTTTGATTGCTTGCATCTTTGCCAAATTTTAACTGTTTCTGCTGAAATTTTCTGTGTCAGGTATCTAACTGAGACCTGAACATTTTTGGAAGGCTTCAGCTCAAAAGGTTGAGTCAGTGAGAACAATGAGGCAAAGGAAGCAGGAGTTATTTTTCCCATGTTAAAAAATTCTGGGGCCTTTCTGTTAAAAGGGATTCACACACTCAAGCCACGAAGAAATAATTTGAAATTTGGCAGGGGGAGTGTCCTTTGAGTCAGGATTTTGCATGCGTCTTCCTATACAAATCTGTCCAAACTTGGTTAAGTATGTCTTTAAAAATCACTCTTTACATATGTTAAATGGACACTTCTTTAAGTTTCATAGCTAAAATCTCTGAAAAGTACATTACCTCATGCACTATGCCATCATGTGTTGATCAGACTTAGATGTGCCATCGCAGAGGGTAAATGCATAAAGCTATGGAAACTGAGAAGGATCTTCCTTTGATTGCTGCTGTGGTATAAATACTAGAACCATTGGTCATAGTCATGTGGCAACATTCTTTTTTCAAATTAACAGGTGCTGGTCACATGGTAGAAGCAGATGTTCTTCTTCGTGGGTGCAAAGCAGAAAAGGGTGAACCGATCATGGCTCATCCTCCTGAAATGAACAGTGACAACACACTCCAGGAGTGGCTACAAGAGATTCTGAACACTGATAAAGGCATCAAACTGGATTTTAAGAGGTATATAGAAAAGATTATATAGGCTATATTATTATAGATTATATATATTAATAGATTATATAGGCTATATATATAAATGATTATAACTGAGTGTGTATTGCTGATAGTGTCCATTATAGAACAAATTTCTATTTACAAAACTTCTATTAATGGTAGTCTAGTGTAATATACAGTGATACAATGTAAGGGTTACTGAAATGTATTACTGTTAGAAATGATTAATTCCAATCTGTACCCAAACTTTGCTTTCGGATTAATTATTTTGTACCATATAGATATTTTTAAATTGAAATGTACTAATTTTTATTAATTGATGCAGTGAAGCTCTTGATGCCAAGGTTTTATGATATTTTAGACTGCCTATACTTTTATCATAAGGAATAAACTAATTACTAAATAGTAAATATTGCTTTGTAGTAATTATTGCATATTATGGACAGAGTTGGTAGCCTCACCAACAGTTAACACTATCCTTTCTAATACCTAGTTTTGTAACTTTGGCAAACCTTAATCACTTAGACTGAAAGTTTTATGTAAGATGTCTGCCTCAGGCTGAATTATTTTAAAGGTTCAGCAAAAATAGTTCAGCATTTTGAGCTCAAGAGGGAAAATAACTTGTTTTGACTATATTGAAAATTTCTTACAACTTAAGTTGAACCTTGATTTTTTTTTTTTTTTTAGAGTAGGAATTTGAAATTTGGCTTTTGAGTCAGGGGTGTACCTTTTGCTGTTCTTATGAAAACCTGCCATAATTTTTCCTATTATAAGGTTCTGGGGTTTGGTCATACACAATAGAGATTTGTTAAAAATTGATAGCTTTATTCTTTAGGTACTGTCTGTGCTTAGCCCGCTTTTACCTTCTGCAACACAGAAGAACTTCCCCTGCAGTAGTAGGATTGAGAGCAGGGAGACTCTGTAGCAGGGGTGCTCAACCTCTGGGCCACAGGCCAGGTTCAGCCCCCAGAGCTGTCATCTGGCCCACAAGGTTCCCCACAGATCCATGAATTTGTTTCCCTGGCTGCCAAAGGGAGACTTGCGAGCCAGATACTGCAGCCCTGTGCACTGTATTGAGCAATGTAAAGCCCAGTCCTGGCGCACAGGGCCATGTGGGGGCTTCATGGGCCTAATCCTGAAGTGTAGGGCTGGGTAGGGGAGCCATGGGGCCTAATAATGGCACACAGGGCGCCAGGGCCTAATCCTGGCATGTGGGGCCTGGACCCAGAGCAGGGCCTTATCCAGTGGACTAGCCCCATGCCAGTCATTTGGCTTGCAAGGCCAGAATCACTCTGGATCAATAATTCTCAAATTAGGGTGCTGTGGCAATTTGGGATGTCTTGTGATCCTTTCCAGGGTGCTGTGGGGTACCATGAAATGTTAGCACTATTAGGTGTGAAAACATGATTCACAAGATCAAACCAGAGATTTCAAATAATAATCCATTGTGTTAAATCATTCTGTCCTGTTGTGATCTTTCTGAGTTCTTTGCAGCAGAAGAATCGTGTTATTGTTTTTCTGTAGTCAAAAAGGAAGTGGAAACTAAAAGCTGGGATTTTCCATGATGTGATTTGTCTCATTTGGGGTACCTTGTTTAGAAAAAGATTGAGAACCACTACTCTAGACTTCTTAATTCCTCCCCACTTCCCATCACCTGCTGACACTCAGGCAGTATAGCGGTGAAAGAGAAACCAGGCTACTCCAAATGTGGAAGGGTCTAGAGAATGGAAAGAGGGGATTGGAGGAACTAGGTGGCAGTGAGGAAGCAGAAGGAACAGGAATGGGGCAGGGTGGCTAATCCGTGGCACAG